CAGGGGTTTGGGGTGGCAGAACACCATACAGATGGAGTCCCGTGATCACCGACGGAGTGTTTGTGCTGGGGATGGTGGTTTCACAGGTGTTTATTTGTTTCAGATAAATAAAGAGAGCCCAATGCTGATAGCGGGCCCTGAACTAAGGATAAGGATGAGTCCAGTTTAAAAAAAATAGGACTAGAGTCCTTTCCCTCCCGGTGCTCAATAGGTTCCCTGGAAAATACATCAAAGGCATTTAAAAGTGGACAGGCTGTATTACTGAGTCACAGAGCATGAACAAATTTGGGATTGCTATTGCATACAGTTATACTAGTTCCAAAGGGTTATTTAGATTTATAGTGCCATGTCAATATATGGAGAAAACCGTTCCATCACACGGTGGCCTGCACTGAGGAATATCACTTCAGACTTTCTGCTGGCTCGTGAGGTTTGCTAGCTTGTCTTTTTAAATAATTCTTTTGATTAAGTTTGAGACTAAATTTGTTCAAGCACAGTCACTTTAAATACCACTCTCTCTCCCCCCACCTATAGCCTACCAACTTGGACCTAAGAAGTTAAAATTTTAGTTGAGTTTCAGAGAAAATAGAGTAGTTTTTCAGGCACCGACGATGATAAGGTAATAAGGAATGTGGGGAGAATTCCTTTAATCCAGCTTTCTGCTTTTAGTAAGAGTATGTCTAAATCACCCCTTCTGGAAGTAATCCTTATATTTATAAGACTATAACAGAAGATGTTTCCTTTCAGGGTAAAATTTAACTTGCTTTGCTTCTATGTTGATGTGAGGAATGAGCCTCGAATGGCACATTGAGCTCCTGCAGTCAGCACTGTTGGATACCGTATCCAGTCTTGCCCTTGATCCTCGTTTGATCAAAAAGTGAGGACCTTGGAAATGGGCAAAGAGTTTGCAGCCTGTTAGGAAGACAGATAAGAAAAGAAACATAACAAATAGGCAGTGTATACCCACAAGGGAGCTACTCTGCTTTCGCATTCTCTGATGTTTCAGTGAGTTTGTAATTTGCAAGTTAGATGATAATGTATTGGGAATAGAGGGAGGTGAGGTTGGATCAGCAAAATTTGGGGAAGGGTGTGAGGGAGGCCACTGAGTCAAGAAATAACTGTTCCTAGAAAGCTATTTGGCAATGGGATAAGATGGGGCACATTTACTTACATTCTCAGTTATCCTCTAGTTGTCATGAGATGTAATTTCCAAGAGCTCAGGCCCAGAAACAGCCACCTTTCCTTGGTTTCTTTGGCTTCCTTGGATCCCACCAGAGGAACTTAGGACTTAAGTTTTCTCCTACTTGGTAGCGTGTTTTGTGTACTATTGAAAAGATTGTTCCCTGTGAGAAAAAGGACTATATCAGCAGAGATGTCAGTTGCACGTCAGTTGCCCTCATGCCCCTTTCTTTGTTTCTCTCTATGGACCAGAGACACCCTTGACCTTTCTGTCAGGAAACGGGGATTCTAGCTGGCTCTCACTGTGCCTTAACATTTTTTTTTTTTTTTTTGAGACAGAGTCTCACTCTCTTGCCTGGGGCGAGTGCCGTGGCGTCAGCCTAGCTCACAGCAACCTCAAACTCCTGGGCTCAAGCAATCCTACTGTCTCAGCCTCCTGAGTAGCTGGGACCACAGGCACGCACCACCATGCCCGGCTAATTTTTTCTACATATATTTTTAGCTGTCCAATTAATTTCTTTCCATTTTTTGGTAGAGACAGGGTCTCGCTCTTGCTCAGGCTGGTCTTGAACTCCTGAACTCAGAACGATCCGCCCGCCTCGGCCTCCCAGAGTGCTAGGATTACAGGCGTGAGCCACCGCGCCCGGCCTGTGCCTTAACATTGATTGTTGGCTTTCAGAGCTCAAAGTCTCTAGTCTTCAAACTGTCCACCAAAGTCTGTATGTCATCTTTCTTTTTCAAGTAATGGCCCTTATACCATCCCGCACCCACAAATGTGTTCATTCATTTATTCAACTAATTCTTCTGCTCTGGTACCATAAACCAGCACTCTTTTAGATCCCAGAATAGCAATGAATGAAACAAAATCTCTCTTCTTATGGAGCTTACATTGCAGATGGGGAGTGGAGCAATAAGTAAATATATTTATACAAGTGAGATGTGAAGCACATGTGTTTTGAGCAGACGACCGACTTGATCTAACTTATATTTTGAAAGGACCATTCTCATGGCCGTGAGGAGATTGGACAAGGGTGGAGTAGAGAGAATAAGTTATGAGGCTATTGTAACAATACATTATAGATCCAGAGATTATTTGTTAGTTATGACAGAGATGGAGAAATGGTTGGATTTGGGATATATGTTGAAGTTGAGCATACTGGCCTCCCAATAGATTGGGGAAGATGTAGTGAGAGGAGATAGACTCAAAGCTTACGTTGGGAGGTGATGAGGAGCAGACTGTGCCATATTCCTCTTGGAGGGGCCTTTGGGCTTCTGCTATAATAGCCCGAACCTCTTCCAGAAGCCCCCTGAGTGAAGGAATAGTAGGACTCCTTGGGGAAAGGATACTTACCAGCTTGTTTGGGCTGTGTTTGGAATGAGAGCAGGTGTTTCACTAGACAGGGAAACTTGAACAGGGCTCTGCCACCTGGAGAATGCACCGAGCCCCTTGCCTGCAGTGTTGCCAGAATCCCTAAAACAGCAGACGTCGAGCTTCTCCGCTGATGGGTCAGCAGTGGCTCCCTGTACTGCACTTCCTACTTTCTTTCGATCTGTAGGTGACCTCTAAATAGCCGACAGTAGGCCTTCGTCTTGAAGGAGGAACTGAGACTAGGCACAGTAGGAGTTTGCGAGTATATGATAGAAATAAAACTGGGTTTTTACCCTTTCCCTTTTCAGTGCAGAGCTTTGAAACTTCCTTACAGTCACTTTATATCATCCTTGTAACTGGACTTTTGAACAATTATCAGTGGATTTCTGGCTTTCCAGTACATGCCAAACCTCACCTGGGTATGGGCTGTCCTTCAGACATCAAGGCCTGATGTACTGAATGTTGGCCTGGGTTCAGGAGCACTTTACGATTATCCCAGCTTTGCAGCTCCCCTTTTACATGGCCTGTGGCGAGTGTCTGATTGTTTCTGTTCATATAACTAATCCGATTTGCCCACCAGGGCACTTTTTGCCCTTCTAAGTAAGTCTCTACACTACTGTTTATGGCTCTGAAGTGCTGATTCAGTGTGTGAGCCTATTCCTCTCTTTTAGATATGTCTGGAGAGGGGTGTTTTGCTTCACTGGGCTCCAGGAACAAATAATAAAAAGTACAGCAAGTACAAGGCCGAGGACAGACCCAGTACATTCTTATCAGTCATCTGAAATATGCACAGCCTTTCCAAGACAAATATGGACTCCTGTTTCTAGGAAAACACCAAAAAGTACTTATCAATTACTCTGTATATGGTTTGCGGAAAAAGACAACATCAGCCTACTCTGAAAGCCATAGCAAAGCAGATTCCTCTGGGCAACCGACAGCTAAGCGGCATGAGTTAGAGCCGCTGCAGAGTCCCAGACTGTGGCCTGGGACTGGTCCAGGGAGCATTTCTTCCCCTCACATGATTACCATGTCCCTCACCCTTTACCCAAGCAACTGAACTCATCTTAGAAGTCTAGAAGCTTGGTGTGTTCCTACTAAATACCCAAGGTCCGTCAGTCTTCTTCTGGACCCACTGCAAATCCAAGGATGGCTCTCCTGAAGAGATTCTTAGAAAAGCAGGGTGTGACCAGTAGAATCTAGCAAGAACAATGAGAGCCGCCATTGGTGGAGAGCCCATGTTTTGTCCAGCACAGGCTGGACAGGCATTATTTTACTTGATCAGTCCTATAAGGTAGGCATCATCATCCTGTTTCACAGAGAAAACTGAAACTGAGAGTTAAGGAAGTTAACTGACTCATCCATGATCACATAGCTTGAAAATGGTAGCAGCAGGATTCAAAGAATTATGGGAACCTTTAACCACTATCTTTTTTTTTCAATTTATTTATTTTTTTTCTTTTTTTAAATTTCAGAATATTATGGGGGTACAAACATTTTGGTTGCATATATTGCCTTTGCATCGCCCAAGCCAGAGCTACAAGTGTGCCCATCCCCCAGACAGTGTGCTCCTCACCCATTAGCTATGAGTTTACCCATCCCCTCCACCCCACTCCCACCTGCCCAGCACCCGATGAATATTACTTTCATGAGCACCTAAGTGTTGATCGGTTAGTACCAATTTGATGGTGAGTACGTGTGGTGCTTTTTTATCCATTCTTGTGATACTTCATTTTGAAGTATGGGCTCCAGCTCTATCCAGAATAATATAAGAGGTGCTAGATCACCATTGTTTTTTGTTTGTTTTTTTTTTGAGACGGAGTCTTACTTTGTTGCCCAGGCTAGAGTGCCATGGCATCAGCCTAGCTCACAGCAACCTCAAACTCCTGGGCTCAAGTGATCCTTCTGCCTCAGCCTCCCGAGTAGCTGGGACTACAGGCACGTGCCACCATGCCCGGCTAATTTTTTCTATTTTTAGTTGTCCAGCTAATTTCTTTCTATTTTTAGTAGAGACGGGGTCTCGCTCTTGCTCAGGCTGGTCTCGAACTCCTGAGCTCAAACGATCCACCCGCCTCAGCCTCCCAGAGTGCTAGGATTACAGGCGTGAGCCACCATGCCCGGCCCACCGTTGTTTTTTATGTAGTACTCCGTGGTATACGTATACCACATTTTATTAATCTACTCATATATTGATGGGCACTTGGGTTATTTCTACATCTGTGCAATTGAATTGTACTGCCATAAACATTCAATTGCAGATGTCTATATTATAAAATGTCTTTTTTTCCTAACCAGGATCTTATAGTGCATTCACAGGCAATACTGTAGTTTAATTCTGTTCACCAAATTTAGAGTATGTCTTGTATTAAGTAGTACTTTTATTTTAGGTGAGGAAAGGAAATCATTTTAACCTTAACATTTAACCTCTTTGCTTTTTGTCCACTTACTCATCTAGGACTCAAGCACAGAGGGTTCGGAAGCCACGTTGCTGCACGGGGCCCCAGGGGCTGCTTCCTCGCTATTCTGAGAGCCAGGCAGAAGGGCAAGAGCAGCTCTTCAAACTCACGGACAATATACAAGACGAATTGTAAGTTGGCGCCCTGGAGAACTGGCCCTGTTGGTCCACTGAGTTGTCTTTTCTATCTTTGAATCTGCGAAATTTCCATCTGATCCAAGTTATCATCATGACTCTCAGACCTTGGAACTGGTCCAAGGATTCCTTGCCCCAGTTGTTTCGTAGATTTAGATATAACTACTTGTAAACAGCCTTTTGCTGAAAGGAGTGGTTCTCAAACTGTGTTCTATAGCCAGACCCTAGTGTTTAGTTCCTAGAAAATGGTAGTCTCTTTCTAGTTAGTTTAGAGAGCGAAGATAATGGATAAAATGTTCTCAATTTTCAGGGCTTTTTTTCCCTTTGAAATTTTCTTAAACTTTGAGATTTTATTGTTTGTTGCAGAATGCTAGCAAAACAAAACAGATGAATAGCAAACAGCTAGTAGTTGAACACTTTGGAAATGTGATTTTCTTAAGACTATTTTGTTTCTTTTTAAATATGAAGCCTTATATACCTGGGTCCTTGTCATATCTTCATTTGGTGAAATTATATCTAGTCAATGTGGTAAAATTAAATATATCACTATGTTAGGATAGTTTGCAAAGACCCTTATATCATAAAAATGCTCTATAACCTGAATAGGTATTAGAACTACTAGCTCAGAGAAAGCAGTTGGTTATGTCTAGTGAGTAGCAAAATGATAGTTTATTTCTTTTAATGCTTATTTATTTCTGTTAAAGTAAAGCAGGCTGGGGTGGGCATGGTGGGTCACGCCTGTAATCCTAGCACTCTGGGAGGCTGAGGCAGGAGCATTGTTTGAGATCAGGAGTTGGAGACCAGCGTGAGCAAGAGTGAGACCACATCTCTATTAGGAACAGAAAAAATTAGCCTGGCGTGGTGGTGGGTGCCTGTAGTCCCAGCTAGTCGGGAGGCTGAGGCAGGAGGATCACTTGAGCCCAGGAGTTTGAGGTTGCTGTGAGCTAGGCTGACTCCACGGCACTCTAGCTGGGGTGACAGAGTGAGACTGTGTCTCAGGGAAAAAAAAAAAAAAAAGGTAAAGCAGGCTGCGGGAGAGGGGAGCGATTCTGAGCACTGTGAGTACTTTTTGGTTGGTAGAGCAGCATTTGAAGTACAGGTCAATTCAGGATAGTTTTCAGTATCACTGTTGGAGACCGTACTAGGTAGACTTCATCTCATATTTTTGTAGCTGTATTTGGGGATATCAGAAATCAAATCCAGCATTCATTTATTGCTTGCTAAATAGAATGGCATCTTCCTAGATGTATCTCGTATAACCCAAAACCCCTGTGGTGTTATTGGAAAGTCTCTTGATAATGGAGTTGTATTTCGTTGTCTTAGTCTGCTTGGGATGCCACAACAAAATAACAAAGACTAGGTAGCTTAAACAACAGAAATTTGTTTTCTTACAATTCCGGAGGCTGGGAAGTCCCAGATGAAGGTACTAGCCGATTCTGTTCCTGATTAGGGTTCTCTTCCTAGTTTGCAGACGGCCACCTTCTCACTGTGTCCTCACATGGCGCAGGGAGAGAGGGCACTCTTGGGTGTCTCTTATAAGGACACTAATCTTGTCGCTTCAGGGCCCTAACCTTTTGACCTCAGTCAACCGTAATTATTTCCTTACACCAAATGGTCACAACGGGGATGGGGCTTTCACATATGGGGGTGGGAGGGTGCCTCAGTCCATAGCAGGTGTCACTAATAGGTTCTGCTGTTTCAGTCTAGCCTCAGCCCAGAGTCCCCATGCAGTTCACTCCAGGGAGAACTTTATATTCCTATCTTCCTTGGAGTGCAGATTTGGTGCCATGGCTGCATTTGGTACCACTTTGCAGATGGAACTTTTGGCTTTTGGATTGGAGGTCCAGAGAGTTATTTCTCAGGTCTAACAGGACTGGTTCAGAGTCTACTAGAATGGCAGTCCCATGAGGGCTGGGATTTTTGTCTGTTCCATTCACTGAAGCATCCTCAGCACCTAGAACAGTGCCTGGCATATAATAGGCACTCAATAAATATAGCTGGATAGCTGCAGTTTAGCATTTGTATTAATACGTGTCCACTTTTCAGTTATTTGGGGTTTTTTTCAGGTCAAAGTTTGAGATTATAAATTATTATATGTTGTATTTTTGATTTCCTCCCCAACTCCCCTAAAGTCAAACCATCTCTGGTCCTCTATAAATTCATTTGCAATGAAGACATGCCAAAAACACAAGGGAGCAATTGCATAGTACAGCCCACATAGGCTTGCTCCCACTGAGATATCTACACTGAAAATAATCAGGGAGAGCTGGAAACTGGAACAAAATGAAATGAGTAAAATAGATTTCATAAAACTCTTGAAATTCATATGAAGTAGGAAAAGATACTGGCATTAATTAATTTTGACTTTAAAGATAAAAACCATGTGTCTCCACCCAAGATGGGGGTTAAATCTTGCCAATGAATGTTGAAGGGGGCACGTGACCGTGGCCTTCCTAAGAGTGCAAGGAAGAAGGCATCAGGGAATCCGGCAAATGCCTCTCTGAAGTGTCCTCAGTTGTCGGCCTGGGCCTTCACAGTGATGTGAACATTACACTCATCACTTTGCAAGAAAGGCGTATTCAGGAAAAGCACACGAGCACCAAATTATACCTCTGACTTTTATCCTAGATTTGTAATTAAAAACATGTTTAAAGACCTAATTATTTGCATATTTCCCTTCAGAGTTAACCCCTTAAAAGGGTCTTTAATACCTTGCTCTACTGTTCTAACTAAATGTTTCCACATTTTTTTCCACTTAGACTCACTGTTTCACTTCTGGAAAATATTGTGTAATTACTTCCTGATGGAGTGAAAACCCCACAAAGTCCCTGGTGCCATGGTGACTTCAACTTTGTTCTCCCAGATCAAGTTGCATTTAATAGTTTTGTTTTATTTAATTAATTAGCATTAAAAAGACAGTTAATGACATATGATTTCGGGTCTGGCCAGCTTCAGTTTCAAATTAATCAAATATTTCTCTGGTATTTGCAGAATAGTCATTGCTTCCCATTTTTCTCAGTTTTGGTTTTGAAATAGGATCCTAGGTTAAGATAATGTTAAGGTAAAATTTATCCTATATAATTAAATTAATTTTTCTTTCTAATTAGTGTCTAATTTGTAGCTAGAAACTTGTTTTCATTTTTTAGAAAAGTACTTATTTTATTTCTGATACGTCATCATAGATAAAGGTACATTATCTAGGTTTGTAAAAGCACCAGGGTGGCTCTTACCTTTTCAGAAAAGATGCTCATAAGTGACCCACATGACCTAGGAAGGTGCTCTCACATGGTGTGTTCTAGAATTTGACAATTTGATTATATTGTTTAAATATAATTTTATTTATTTGTTTTTGAGACAGGGTGTTGCTCTGTCGCCCAGGCTGGAGTGCAGTGGTGTCATCTTAGTTCACTGCAGCCTCAAACTCCTGGGCTCAAGCAGTACTCCCTCCTCAGCCTCCCAAGTAGTTGGGACTACAGGCATGTGCCACCACACCCAGCTAATTATTTTTTATGTAAATGAGGTCTCTCTATGTTGCCTAGGCTGGTCTCAAACTCCTGACATCAAGCAGCTCTCCAGCTTCAGCCTCCCAAAAAGTGCTAGGATTACAGGTGTGAGCCACCATGCCCAGTCTAAATGTCATTTTAGAAAGTAACATTTATGAGATTTTTTTTAATACAGAGAAGTATAAAAAGGAAAAAAAAAATAGCCTATACACCCACCAGCCAGATAAGTCCTTCCTTTTTTTAATGAAATAAACTCATGCATATAGTTAGCAAATTCAAGAGTACAGAAGAAAATAAAGTCAAAAGTAAAAGTCTCTTTTCTTCTCCTTTGTAAACATGTTGTTTATGATATTTTGTATCTTGTCTGTTCTTGAGAAACTGCATAAAGAGGGAGAGAGAAATCAGGAAAATTTTATTGGAGCATGCGCTGTAATGGTGATTCTAATGTACGTTATAGTAACATAGTCTCAAAACAAAAACAAAAGGCTAGTCCTTTGAGGAATGGAATAGAATTAATTAGCTTCCATTTTCTAAACCAGGAAATAATCTATTAATTACTATTGACACATAGGGAATTGAGCATTCTTTGATATGCCACTGAATTAAAACTTTCATTTGGCAGATTACTCAGCTACTCTGATAAAAGTTAATAGCTTGCTAAATCTTTAATAAGTTAAATCAAGAGTTCCAAGAGAATTTTTGCACTTTACTACTGGGTAAAATATGTCTAGCATCCAAAGTTGCAGGTGTACTGGCAAATTCCACTGCACCTTACGATGTAATTTCACCATTATTTGCTGAGACTCCCTAATACATAGATTTATTGAATCCTACTATGTGCCAGGATGAGTAGGAAATTTGCTATATCCTCAACAAGTTCACGGTCTAGCAGCCCAACTACCTATAACTTGCTGCTAAAGTAGAAGTATGAGCAACACGTTATGGGCCTGCAGACAGGAAATGATTATTTTATGCCTGGAAAGCTGAGGCACAGCTTCGCTGAGAAGCGTGTGGATGATTGACCTGACCTTGTGGGAGGAGGAGCAATGTGCCAAGGAGAGAAGGAAGAAAGGCCGTGTGCACAGAGATCAGTACTGGCCAGAGGCCTGGGCGGAAGAGCTCATGGCATGTCCAGAGAATTCAGATTGGCCAAGCATGGCAGCAGCACGTGTGTGGGAGGGAAGGAGTAGGTGTCGGAGAGCTGGGAAGGGGGTTCTGAGGCCAGGCTCTGAAGCCTGACACTAATGGTCATGCTAAGGAGCTCACCTCTCCGGTAGGCAGAGGTGAGATTTTGAAGAAGGGGATCCCACTCAGAATTACACGTTAAAAATGAAGCCTAATGGCAACAGAGAAATTAATCAGTTTGGAGAGGCTGGAGGGAGGAATCCAGTTAGGAGGCCCTTGGAGTAATCCAGGTGACAGTGGAGAGGCCTGAACACACGGTGGCCGTAACGATGAATAGAAGGGGACAGATTGGAGAGGTATTTAGGAGGTCACATCAGTGGGCTCAGTAGACTGAGTGGATTTGGAATCTGAGTGAGGTGGAGGGTCACCTCTTTGGGTCGTGGGGACATCGTCAGCTGAGATGGGGGTGCTGATGAGAGGATTGGGGAAGAAGGAGCTCAGCCGTGGACATGCCAGGTGTGCGACACTTGTGGGACATGCATATGGAGGTGTTCTGCAGAGGGTCTGGCACTCAGAGTGACACCAGGCTCAGACACAGTCAGGGGTCACAGGTGGACCTGGTGGGGGTGACACCTGGAGGTAGAGCCTGTTCTGGTAGCCCTGCTCCTGCAGTAAGACGACTCAGAACATTTCTGATTGTGAAATGACTCTAAAAGGAGTAGGATAAGATTTATAAATAAATTTAATAGAGCAAAAAAATTAAAGAGTGGGAGAAAAAGAAAGAAATCAAATAGGGTAGTTGAGAAAAAAACCAGATAGGGTAGATGAAACAGTTACTTGGAAGATTTCTCTCCCTCTGAGAGAACTTGGTCCTGAACCTATTTTCCACATGGCCCATTAGAGGGACAACCATTTCTCTGACCTGCTGATGAAAGGATACGTAGATTTGTGAGAAGAGGGTCGTCCCCACAGGATCAGGGTCACTTGGCATCTGTTCTCAACAGAAGGAAGAAATAACCAGGGCCACCATCAGTTGAGGGTCTCTTCTGTGTTGGGCTCATCGATTAGCTCTAATCATCACGTAGACTAGCCCAGCAGAGTAGACGTGTTGATCCTTGTTCTACACACCAGGCAGAGAAGCTCTGAGCAAAGCCACGTGGCTAGCGAGAGGCAGAGCAGACCGGCACCAGGACGGCTGGCTCCCATGCGAGTCTGCCATGTGACTTGGGGAGAACACTATCACCTGCCACAGAGGGAGAGGCCTGAGGCTATTGTTGATAATGGTGCTGGTGTTTTGAGAACACCCCCGTGGTTTGCGGTTTGTGGATATTGTTAGTAATAGTGGATTCGACTTCCGTGGCATTGAGTCTTGCCAGATTCACCCACTTCTAGCGCCTGTCATCGTGGAAGATGTAAGCCGTGTGCTGCAGCCGTCCCTTCTCTCAGAATAAACTCTCTGATGCTGATCCCCTAGGCCGGAGTGTCCTTTTTCTCTCTTTAACTCCGAAGTTAAAACACTGTCTAAAAATTTGTTTTGTTTTGTTTTGTTTTTTTTTTTGAGACAGGGTCTCACTCTGTTGGTCGGACTAGAGTATAGTGGCATCATCATAGCTCACAGCAACCTCAAACTCCTGGGCTCAAGCAATGTTCCTGCCTCAGCCTCCTGAGTAGCTGAGACTATAGGCGCGCACCACCACGCCTGGCTAATTTTTCTATTTTTTTGTAGAGACGGTGTCTCGCTCTTGCTCAGGCTGGTCTCGAACTCCTGACCTCAAGCGATCCTCCCACCTTGGCCTCCCAGAGTGCTAGGATTACAGGTGTGAGCCACCGTGCCTGGCCAAAATCCTATTTTTTAATAGAGTCAATTATAGTATCTACAGCAACCTAAAACATGCCAACAGAACATGGGGTGACTTCTCTAGTTCTCATATTTGAGGGATAAAGCTTATCCAGATGCTTTGTGTTTCTGGCCACATTTTTCCATTCTTCCTCCCTCTAAGTTAGTCATAGATCCAAGAACAGAAGGCATGTACTCAGGATCCACCTGAGACCACAGTGGCTCTCTTCCTCTGTGTCATCCCACGAGGTTTTCCTATAGTCACTCATTCTTGGGCCAGCAGCAGTCCCCGTGTGAGGCTTGGCTAGACAGGGATGACGAGTGGGGAGCCCTGGTCAAGACTTCAGAGCAGAGTGCCAGTCGTGACCCGGACCTCTCAAGTGAAGCAAGTGAAAGCCTGTGGGGAACTAGGCCTGGAAGGGCAAGAAGTGGCCTGTGGCTTTAGAAAAAGGGACGGGGGCCGGGAGGGGATGGGGAGAGGGGAAGAGTGTTCTGCTCTTGCCACGCTCTCTTGTCACCCTGACTTTGGGTTCCTCTCTCACAGAGCAAGAAGTCTGGGACCGGCCTCCATTAGATAGGGGACTAGTCTTGGAGCTGTTTTAATTATTCTTTGATGTGGTTTCCAGATTTTGTAAAACAGTAAAAATTAATAAGGATGATGAAGAAACCCAAAGCCTTGGTGGTTGGTGGCGGGAGTGCCAGGGAAGCAGCAGGAGGGGATGGAGACACAGCTGGTGGCCAACGAGCCCCTGGGGTTACCGCTCAGCTCCAGCAGTGGCCTCATATCCCCCTTTCTCCTTCTCTCAGTCATACCCGTGGCTGTGATCTGCTTTTGATTTGAAAAGACTTTAGGAAATTTCATGCAAATGTCCAAAAATAATGTTATTATCAGTAGCTGGGCCCCCTCCCCTGGACTTAGAGAATAGAGATCTGTAGATTTGCAGAGCTGGTCTCCCCTGCTGATGTTTCTGAATGGCCGTGAATTCTTTTGACCTTTGTACTGACCTTGTGAAGAAAGCTGGCGGACGTTACCATCTCCATGAGAGAGATGAAGAAACCAGCAGAAACCACACAGAAAGCAACTGCCTTGGCCCCGTTGCCCAGCCGGGCGGGCTTTCCCTGCTGCTCGGCCTGTTCTCCCTCACTGAGTCCCCTACTGTTCCGGAGGGCATCCCGGCTACAGCGCCCTTCCTCCAGAAGTTGCTCAGACCTGAGGGAGGACCTGCAGCAGCTGTGGCATCTTGGAAAGGGGTGTTCAGTGTGGAAAGTGCACTAGTAACTTCGGTGCCCGGCTCGGGCGTGGCAGCAGCCGCCTGAATGGAAAGCCCTCCGCCCTTTCCACTGGCCGTGTGTGAACCTCAGCTACAGCGGGTGCCATGTGGGGTGGGGCCAGGGGGCAAGGGTGCTGGCCTAGGGGAAAGCACCTTAAATCTCAGTTGGATTTTTCCTGTGACACATTCCTGTCACCCCAATCACGGTGGCCAACTTTGGAGTCTCCAACTCAGTGGCTGTGCACCATCCCCACCCACTACCCGCCGCCCCCCTCCCCCCGCCCCGCACAGGCCGCTTTGGGGTTTCAGCTGGTGTCCCAGCACATTCTGGCTGGCGCCATGGCACTCCCTCTCTGTGTCAGGGTGCATTTCATCTCTGTCCGTCTGTCTTTCTGTCTCCATGCCCTCCTTCCTTCCCCTGGACCAGCTCTTGCAGATTCCATTCAGCTGCCCTTGATACTGCTCGGTTTGGGATGTGAGAAAGTCTGTGCTAAGTGGCCTGAACACTAAAAGCTGCTGGGTCTTTCTAATTTTGGCATTAGGAGTTTACAAGTCTACATTCTTGGCGTTGCCAACCAGTTAGAATAGAACAATAAACTCCAATTTTTGTCATGGGAGGCTGTAATTAAAATGGCAGCTGGAACAAGGCGTACTTACTGCGTACTTTGGGGGTGGCCGACTCAGTGGGGTGTTCAGGGAGACATGGGGATTTAAGTGTGTCCCTCTCTCTTATGGGGCTTCCAACTCAGAGAGCCGAGAGACTTCTCCAGGACACACAGAAGAAACAAGTCAGTATTGGGCAGCACTTGGGGAGGCCACCACATTTAAGCACTCAAAAGTGGGCGGGGGTTAGAGTATTTAGGGGACTCTTCTTGGAGAAGTTGGAACCATGAATCCTCAGGCTGGGGGGCATTTAGAGAGGCTGAGAGAGCAGGGTGTGTGTCCTGCATGGACACAGGAGTGAGCCAGGGCCCAGCAGCTGCTCAGGCCTGAAGAGAAAGCAGCCTGTCCCCAGCAGGCAAGCCGCCCCCAGCCCCACAGGTTTCTGCCTCTGTTGGAGGATTTTGCAACTGCTGACCTGGGAACAATGCTGCCCTGGACCCAGGTTCCAGAACAGTCTAGGTGGAGCCTTGGCTCTGAGCAGCTATAGTTTGGCAACCAGAGCTCGGCAGCTAGTCTAGCGTCAGTTCTTATTATTCCTGCCGCCATCCGTCCTCTGCTGCTGTCCCTTGACGCTGCAGCCCATTGTGAAAAGCTGTCACAAGATGCAGGGGAGGCAGCCAGGCTTGGGGGAGCTGTCACCGCCGTTTCCAAGGTTCACTACTCTTCATTCAGTAGCTGAACAGAGAGGTTTGACATGCATAAATTCCCACTTTAAATCTGTGAGCTCCATGGAAGAGGTTTTTTTCTGAATGACCCTAAAGCTCCTAAAAATAATGACTAAAAGTTTAGAAAATGAAGATTACAGCTTTACCTACGAAAGCATTTTCTGACTATTAGAGTTTTCTGAACATAGAGTGGTCTCCTGAGTTCCCTTTCGCTGGAGGTGTTGAGCGGAGACTGGGCGACCTCTCAGTAGAGCGTTGAGAGGGCGGAAGCGGACGCAGGCATCACACACTGCGACGTGGTGCCGTCTCCTCGCGCCGTGCAATTTGGGAACCCCGTTTAATTCGCCTTTTCCCTTCAGTACTCGTGGCCCCGGCCCGTGTCTTCTGCCTCCTAGTGTCTGCCTCGCTCTGCTCGGCAGTGAACCTTCTCCGCTGCTACTTCAGTTGAACATTTAAAGGCAGTATTGTTTTCTTTCTATTTTGTCCAAGAAAACATTGTTATAATTTTCTCTAAGCCTTAATCTTTCTAAAAACACTCACCAAAAAAAACCACCGCACAAGATACAATTTCAGGATGTGAAATTGTTTCTGTTATTGAAACTGCTGGACGCCATCGCTGGCTAGCATTGACTGAGCAGCCCACGGAAGGGTGCTGAGTGCTGTACATGTGGGCCTCACAGTAGCTCTTGCGGCCGGGTCAGTTTTACTCCTGATTTACAAATGAGGAAACAGAGGCTCGAAGTGATGAGGCCACCTGGATGGAGGTGCAGTGAGGCGGGGGCCTGGATTCCTGCTCAGCCCACAGTGGGCCTCCGCCTGACGTGAGGAGAAGCCCTGGGTGCCACTCCCGTGTTCTCTCTTCCTTGCAGCTTCATAGCCGTGGAGAACATCGACAGCTACTGTGTGCTCATCTCCTCCAAAGCCGTTTACTTCCTGAAGAGTGGAGACTACGTGGACCGAGAGGCCATTTTCCTAGAAGTCAAATACGATGATCTCTACCACTGCCTTGTCTCCAAAGACCACGGGAAGGTGTATGTGCAGGTGACCAAGAAAGCCGTGAGCACGAGCAGTGGTGTGTCCATCCCAGGCCCCTCCCACCAGAAGCCAATGGTGAGTCCACTGGCCTGTCGTCAGCACTGCTGGGTGGCGCGTGCGGGGTTCGGAGGTGGAAGGTCTCTGAAGGCCTCTGCGCTTCCCTCTTTCCAGCAGGGTCTCATTTTGAAGGCTGGGCTGGGCTGTTGCTCATCCAGGGCCACTGTTTCTCAGTCTGGACACAGGAGGGGCTCAGGCCATGGTAACGGGGTGGTGCTGCCCCTCAGCCAGCCTGCTCCTGACCCCAGGCAAGTTACTCAACATCCATGCCTCGGTTACCCGTCAATACAGTGGGGGCAGCAGTACTTACTCTAGTTGGTGGTGAGGAACAACCAGCATGATACGCAGGGGTTTTTATTCCCGAAACGTGATTCTTCAGAGCATTCAATCTAAGAAGGTGCCAGAGCGCACACTGGCTTCTCTATTGTTTCTCCTATAACAGTGGAAACCATAACTTTTGGTTCTGCACAAAGAAGCAGTATCTAGCATGCTCGATAAATATCTGTAAATAAAAGTTATGCTGTGCCTCCAAAGGAGACAAGGTATTATGAGGACTTTTAAATAATAAGGCTCCTATTAATAACTAACATTCCCAAAGGGCTTGCTGTGTGCAGTCTGTCCGCTGAGTGCAGACCCTGGAAGGAGCTGGGGTTCAAAGCAGGTGTCCCGCTCCAGAGCTGGCCGTCTGGACCGCAGAGCCCCTTGCTGTGCTGTTGCGAGGCAGGAGCAGGGTTGAGGAAACCCACCCATCTCTAGCCACGGTCGGACTCGGCGGCTTGTCCTGACACTCCGGTGTTAGTCCTGCGTGTTCTCACCTGGTATGCCAGGCTTTTCCAGCCTCTAGTCAAGAAAGATGTGTCATTCAAAGGGCCTGCCTGTCTGTGGTCTTTCTGCAGATCAGAAATAGCAGCCTCTTTGGGCCTCTCTCTTCAGGAGTCCTTTGACTTTCCCCTGCCCAAGAATGCACTTGGGTTTCCTTCGCTTATGCGGCTCCCCTGGGGTCACTGGCTGGAGTTAGGGCTGGTTGATTAACAGAGTTAACACCCAAAGTGTGAGTATTTCTCCAAGTTCCTGTGCATGGTGGGCAGCCTTGCCTGATAACATTGCTGCGCCTTTGCAGGCAGGTGGGCAGCGAAGCCTTCTTGGTGAGAAAGGCCTAGAGGAATCTGCTTGCTGATTCCTCCTTCTTCTTTGACCACGGCCACCCTCGAGCTGAATCCGCAGTGCGGTCCTTTATTCTCGCTCTCAGTCTTCCCTCCGCAGGTCCTACCTCCTCAGGACTGAAACTGCGTCTCAGTTATGGGGGTCCCCAATCTCAAGGGATTATGGGTTGGCTGCACGGTCACCTGGGGATTTTGTTTAAAAAACAGATTCCACCCCGGACTTTTCCCTTGGGAACCTATATTTATCTAAGTGGTACCTCTGCCGTTCTGACACGCAGCCGCACTGGCGCTGCGGCCTGGGTGAGTTGCAGTTGCCGTGGGCTCGGGTTCCATTCCGTCTCCCCGCCTCGGGGGCGGTTACTCATTCTGTTCTCCTCTCAGGTCCATGTGAAATCTGAGGTCCTCGCTGTCAAGTTATCACAAGAAATAAACTATGCAAAGAGCCTTTACTACGAACAGCAACTTATGTTAAGACTCAGTGAAAATCAAGAGCAGTTGGAGCTGGACTCCTGAGAAGTCCCAGCTGCTGGAGAAATACTCCCGGACACACATGCAAGCCAGCCAGGAGGAAGGAACAGGCCCGCACTCTGGTATTAAATTAGAGGCAAAACCAGAATAAGGTTTGGGGGAAGATGTCAAGGAATGAGGGAAAGTAAATCCTCATGGGGAAAAATTCAAATAGAAACCATATTCATTTGCGGGGCAGGGAGTTACTTTAGATTATGGGGAAGTAATTTTTAAAAGGTATTGGTTGAATAACGTAAAAAAAATGTACTGAGATGAATCTAATTTTTAGATTGCCCTGTATTTTGTTAACATGTATATATGTACAACTATGTGTTTGTAAATACATAGGAGTGTTTCTGCACAGGGCCCGTCGTGTGTAAAGGTTTGTTAACTGTAAAGTAATATAAAATTATATTGGATCTTCTATTGCACTAATTCTATACGTCTAATTCAGGGTACTCTCTATAGAAAGGCATTCTTAAAAATTGAAGAATGTTATGTCTTAGTTTTGGAAACTAAAGTATTCAAAGTAAAGTAAAGTGGATTGAATATTCAAGAGTGATGCCTTTGAAACCTTCGGTTATCCAGGCTGGAGCTGTGAGCCAAAGTATTCCAACCAGAGCTGACCCTTCAGAAGACCCTAGGAGAGTGGCTTGGTAGCACACCTTACATTTCTCATGTTCATTTTATAGATAGTTCTTATATTATCACAGGTTATTTTTTAAGTTATCTATCTATTTGACTTTCTCCTGACTAGTCTTGCCAAACTTAGAGGAAAAATTGTGTTCCATTACCACACACACAGAAATCAGCATTGTAAGTTTTTCTTGGGTTATTATTAGAGGTTTGAAACATTGGTAGGCTCTGTTGATTTAAAAGGGAAAAAAAATCCCATTGAACTATTGTAACAAATCAAAAACCCACAATAAGAATGTTCTCCTTCCTGGGCAACAACAAAGGACAAGGTCCTGGGACTATTTTCTTTTTAATAAAGCCACATGCTGGCATCACAGCTCCACAGCCCTAGGGGACACAGAGATGGTGATCCCAGGACAAAAAGGAAGAGGGAGAGAATTCCAGAAAAGGGAATGAAATAGGAGTATTAAAAACCAGTGTTTAAAAAAAAAAAAAAAAGATTAGTTGGGTTTGGTGGTGCACGCCTGTAGTCCCAGCTACGTAGGAGGCTGATGATTGCTCCAGCCTGAAAAAAAAAAAAAAAAGTGTTTATAAACTTTTCGTGGAACCAAGATTTGGCCAAAGCATCTCTTGTCCTTGGTTTTAAATTCCAGCCAGCAGCAAGGCCTAGTTCGAGTGCCCTCTCTTCCTGAGCCTTGTTTCTGGTGGTTTTGCTTTTCTGTAAGGAATATGCAAATATGGAAAGAAAAAAGTGTGTGGGGGGGCTTTACTTTAGAATGAATGACTCACCTTGGGATTTCTACATTTTTATTTTAATAAAACTAATCAATTTCTACAACCTTACCACATGTAGCCAAGTCTGGGATGACTCAGAGGATCAGTGGATGTGCAGAAGGTTTTGGTGTTTATAACTCACCCAAATCCTTCCAAGACACAAATGAAGCTAATCTCTCTCCCTGTCTCCCACCCACTTCCCCCTTTCCTCTCCCTTCCCTCCTTCCTTCCCATGTGTATGTGTGGTGTGTGTGTGTCTGTGTGTGTGTTCATGTTCGTGTTCATTCCGAGAGGAAAGAAGGGAGCTTTAGCACAAGGGCTTTAGCTAAGTAGTGTTTTCAAGCATTAGTCGTCTTGAACTCCAAGGTTTGGATAGTCTTCACTGAACTCCAGTTAGTGGATTGCAGAATTGAAACTTGGCTTTTGCAGGGCTGGGTGGGTTTAGGTTGTTTGTGTGTTTCTTGCTGGGTGGTAGTCGTGGCTGGATCAGCTCCTGCGGCCCCCACAGGCTCTGAGAGCCAAGTGTCAACTCCTCGCCATCTTCCTCACCAGTCTCCCTCCCTGCACCCCCACAAGTTTGCCTTGTGGTTCTTGTCATCAGTAACCCACTGCCTGAGATCATGATCTCTTAAAGTTGAGACGCTCAGAAGGGTTGATTATGTGTGTCAGTGAGCCTTCTGTCTCTTTCTAGAATGAAGTCACTTGAAATTTCTTTGTTGAAGTAAGGAGTATTGCTAAAGAGGTCTGATTTGGGTCCCAGCAGCACCTGGAATTCTCGGGTCTGACTGCAGGAAGCTAGTTGAGGGCCGCCCCTTGGGCTGGTGCTCCAGGAGGACTCCAGGGAGGTGCTCACATGCCCTCCTCCCAACTCCTTGCTAATTTTAATCAGCTCTTTAAATAGTTGCCCATCTCCCATGATTGCACAACTGCTCGCTTTAACATTCGCGCCTAGGAAGAGGCAGGTGTTATAATGGATCCAAAGACTAGTGGGGTGGGGCTGGGTCGGAGGCGAGAGGGCCACCCGCCAGCCTCTCCATCTCTCTGCTCTCCGGTGCCCTGTGGCCCCAGGGCCAGGCCTGGTGAGGAGGTTTCACAGGCTTTTGACATGGTTTCCTGGTTCTCACCAGGGAAAAATCCAAGCTTTGGAGGAAGCAGGCTCTGCCCTTGGCTCCTTGAGTGCCCCATTTCTTTTTACATTGGTATTTAGCCAGTGATGTCTAAGACTTTGTTATAATTTCTACTGATTCTCTTGCTGCCTCAAATACACAGCTCCTCTCTGAGAAAAGTAAAATGAGTAGGATGATGGGAAATCAGATAAGGAGACATCCAAGACCATCCCAATTCTCTGTCCCAACCTGCTGGCCGACTCATGTCACCACCCAACCATAGCTGCTTTTCTCCGCCCGCTGGAGGGACTAGCCAGGCCGGTGTCCATCCCACCCCACCCCACACCCCTGGGCCTGGTCACTACACGATGGAAAACAGACAAGCAGCCTCTTGCCCGGCCCAGGGCGTCGTGTCGCTTGGTGGACTCACCACAATGTGCAGAAGGCTCCAGGGCCACTTTCTTTTTAAGTATCATCTGTGCCTCAAAATATCATAGTAGCTGCTTGATCAAATTCTGAAAATGAAATACCTGGTTCTCTACTGTGTAAACACTATTACAATCACCAGTGTGTTAAGATTCTTGAACTTGGTTCTCATGTCAGAGAGTCATCTATTTCTTCCTGTGGAATAAAATGTTTTGTTGACTTCCCAGATTTGTTCTTTGTTTTCTTCTGGTTTCTTGGTAATCCATAGATTCTAGAACCATCTCCAGTGACAAATACTAAATACAGTACAATATTTGCAATGAAATGTAGCCTCTCCCTGTAGCCCAAGGAAGCACATAGCAGGGCAGACCGCACACACTGAGCAGGTCTCGACTTCACAAGAGTAAGTGGCACTCACCTCTGCACGCTGGCTGCTGCTCACCCCGCACTGAGGGGACGGGTCCAATCCCCAGGCAGGACAGAAGTCATCACTTGGCGTTTAGACCGATGAAGCGCAAACAGCAAAGGAGACTCAGCAGGCACGTCCAGAGACAGCGACACCAAGAGGGTGTGGTCCAGGAAGGTTTCAAAGCTGAACTAATCGTGGGGTTGAGAACCAACACTGGACGATGCATTTGGCAGCATCAGAGTCACTGAGAGCAGTTTTAGAGGAGTGGTGGGGCCAGGTCGCGGGAGAAAAATGGAAGGAGAGAAACTGGAGACAACGAGTCTGACCCTCTGAGGAATCTGGCCGTAATTGGAAGGTGAGAAAGGGAGTGGTGCTTCCCGGGGGAAGGAGGCGTGATATGGGGAGAAGGAAGACCGGCGGGCCGGGGAATGGGGGCCTTGGGCTTCAGCAGATTGCTCCCGTTTCTCAGGGAGATGGGCCGAGAATGAGTGTAGGGCAGGACATGGTGGAGATCTGGAAAGAGGAAGGTGCCGATAGTCGTGCAGGGTAACGGGAGAGTGCTGACCAGGCCAGAGGAGCGTGATGTGTCTGCGGGGCAACACTGGGGCCCATTTGAGGCTGGTGACCATGAATTCAAAGCCAGACCGGCAGCCCAGTTTTGTGTTTTTCTCCAGCCACGTTTGGCTGCAGGGTTCAATGTGGACTAAGCAAAGCACTGGATTTAATCAAGAACTGTTCCCCTCACCTATCGAACTACCTCGTCCACCATCGCTGCTTAAACCGGCCAAGAGCCAGTCGGAACAGAATGTCGAACAAAAATCCAAGAGCTTAGAGAAGGGAAGGGCTCCACTTTTCAAACCAAAGCACAGTATCTAAAGAATATGCCCCTTCTAGGGGGGAAAGGGTGGGAGGTGTGGTTAACACCCCCAAATGAGAGCATGGCTAGACTATTTCAGGGGCTCACTGGCACACGGGGACAATATTTGACCACAAACCAGACAGTCGGGACGTGGGGATGCCATGGCCTAGAAAAGGTGTGCGTGTGACATCTTCAGTTTCCTCCAACAAGTCCAGCGTGCTGCCGTGCAGAGGCACCGAGTCACTGCAAAGACACCTTTCACCCCGGCTCTCGAGAGCAAGAATGTGACTTCTAGTACTGCCAAAAAAACCTTGACGTTTGCTGCTCACTGGGACACTGTATCTCAGGGCCCTAAGAACAGGTGTCTAAAAGATGCTGACGTGCTTTCTCCACACAGATCCGAGCATGTTCATTATTATTTAGAAGTTTTGATTAACCCCCAAGAGCACTTGCTCAGGAAATTTGGAGTGAGGTTTCGCTTTCACCTGCGGGGGACCTCAACATAACTGCTCACCTGAGCCGTGGCCCTCTGGCTAGGGGATGATGAAATCGATCCTTCGTCTTTACAAAAATGGAGTCATGCTATATATACACTATTTTGGAACTTGCTCTTCTCTGTGTTACCTTCAGGGCGGCAACTTTATTCTCTTAAGTGCTGCACAATAGTTAATGGTGTCAATGTTCTATAATTTCCTCAACTATTCCTGAATTGATAGGCATTCATTTAGTTTTCAGGCTGCCTCCACCTTGCCCCCCAAGAGCAACACTGAATATTCTCCTGTTTATGTGCCCAGGCCCCAGTTTTATTTCTGTGCAGCAGATGCCCAGGAGCCCATTGGTTAGAAGGTATATTCAAGATCATTTTCCCAAAATCCCGGTGGGAATGTGAAGGGCTGCAGCCAGCCATGAGCACCCCTTCCCTGCACCTGTGGTCAGTCTGATGGGTACAAAGTGGTATCACATTGTTACTTTGTCTTGCGTTTCCCTAGCAGCAAATTTGACAAACCATCATTTGTTTATTGGCATTTGGATTAACTGTTAGGAATGGCTGCTGAATGATAGCAAATGCCTTTTCAGATCTATTATTATGACTATATTATTGTTTCTCCTTGAATTTGTGTGTGTGTGTGTGTGTGAGTGATAGATTGTGTTGATAAATTTCCTGGTGCGGAACCACCCTTAATCCCTGGAGTAAGGGATTCCACTTGGGCATAATGTGTTAGTTTGTTATTCTTTTGATACATTTCCTGGGGTTTTTGGCTAATATTTTGAATCTTTGCATCTTTAAAGTGAAAGGGCTCTATAATTTTCTTTGTTTCATAGTATCTTCATCAGATTTTAGAATTAAAATTATGTTGCCTTCATAAAATGGATCGGGGAGCTTTCCGCCATTTTCTGTGGCTTGCAATACTTATATTAGAATTTCCTTTTCTGGGTTTTTTTGTTTGTTTGCTTGTTTTTGTTTTTGTTTTTTGAGACAGGTTCTTGCTCCATCTCCTGGGCTAGAGTGCAGTGGCGTCGGCCTAGCTCACAGCAACTTCAAACTGCTGGGCTCAAGGGGTCCTCCTGCCTCAGGCTCCCGAGTAGCTGGGACTACGGGCGCATCAACACACTGGCTAATTTTTCTATTTGTTGTAGAGACGGGGCCTTGCTCTTGCTC